CGCTTATTAATAAGCTAGAAAATGCATCCCGGACAAAAGCTTTTCCTTTAGCGGCGGCTGATTTAAAAAGCATATTTGACTCGTAAACTACGGTTCACGAGTTAAACATAAGATAGCGGAATAAAGCTAGTAGTAGTGGTGATCGATTAAGTGATAATTAAAATCGTTAATATTAATATAGTATTATATAGTTGTAAAAAAAAGGTGGTAATAGTATTATTATAATTGTTATTGTATAAAGAAAAAAAATATTAAGAAGAAAGAAAAGAGAGCTTTCTTATATAAGTATATTTGTAAAGAAGACCCACTTTTTCTAACAGCAGTTCACCTTCGAATACACGTAGTTAAGCACGCTTAAAATAAAGGAACAGTTTCAAATAAAAAATAAGAAATAGCCGTATAAGCCCAAACAAGTGAAAAACAATTAAATAATAAGAATAATTTATGTAAGATAAGTGAATAGCTAATAAGGTAAAAGGAACAAAGAAAGAACAGAGAATATAATAAAAGGCAGGTCTAAAGGTGAAAAAACAAACGTAAGAAATACCCTTCTTTACCAATAATAAAAAGAATGATCATTAAGAGCACGTCCTCTTATAAAATAAATGTAAAATAAAGAAAAGATAAGAAAGTAAGAAAAAACAAAGTAAAGGAAACAGACTAAGAAACAATTTTGTAAGCTAGTTTTTGTTTTTTCGAAAGTGTTAAAAGAATGATTTAGAAGTTAGTAGACCTGGGTTCAAAGGTCACCTTTAGGTTAAGTAGTTTACTTTTGCCGTCGTCGGAAGGCTCGTATTCGCTGAAGTCCGAGTCGTTTAAAAAGCTCGAATTTTCCTTTTCTTCTTTTTCGTCGTCCTTATTAAAAGGAAAAAAGGTTTGGTTGCGGCGGTAGAATCGCTTAAGGCGGTTAATTGCAAAAGTGCTTTTAAGCTTAGTCTTATCGGTTTCTTAAAGCTTATAATATCTTTTATCGTAAGCTTTAAAGACGATATAAAGTCTTAGCTATTTGTAATCTAGCTTAATGTCCGCGAACATATCGATGCTGCGTTTAATATCGTAAAGTAGTACTAAGTCTTTTTCTTTAATAGGTTCCGACTTTAAGACTTTGACTCGTTCTTAAGTAGCTTTAGCGGCAAGTCGATAGCGTTTCTTCTTTAAGATAATCTCGTCGATATCCTTATCTCGAAGTTCTAATTGTCTAAACTTTATAGCAAGCAGGTCAGCGCGGAATCGAACCTCTTGCTAAAGTAGTAATCTTTAGACTGGCTATCGTAACTCTAAAAGTAGCTCAGCTTCTCGTCTGTAATTTAAAAAGAAAAAGGTGACTCTAATAAGTGCGTGTATCGATGTCCGGACCGCAAAAAGCATCTTATTGAATTTGCGAACTTAATCTTTAAATCCTTTATTTATAACTTTCGATAAACTATCTAAGATGTCTTTATAACCTCTCTTAATCATTCTATTAGCTTTTGAATTATAGCTTAAGATTTAGACCTTCTTGATCTCGTACTTAATAGCGAAAGCCTTAGCAATTGCTTTGTTTTCAAGTCTTTTATCGATAATCAGTCTTTCGAATAGTTTATAACGGCAAACGATATCTTTCTAAAAGAACTTAGCAATAGATTCGGCGTTAGCCGATCGAAGTAGCCGCTTTTCCGGCTATCTAAATAGATCTTCTTTAGCTAATACGAAGCAAGTCATTCTTTTATCGGTAATAAGAACTCGTAACACGTCTAGGTTGACTTTTAACCACATTTAAGTAAGCTAAGTCGAGTACAAAGGGTTTTCTATTCGTCTAGCTTTACGCTTTTAATAAAGCTTACAGCTTTAAACGAAAGCCTTGCAGTCTTCGTAGCATCTATTCCAGAAGAAGAGTTTTGACGTGCGGTAGTAAGTTAACTTAGCTCTTTTATGTCCGGATTCTCGATAAGCGTCGGAAATAGCAGTATAGCGTTTTTAGGTTCCGTCGACAACTAGCTTAATCGAATAAGAATTGTTTGCTCGCTTGTAAAAGTAACCATCTTTGACCAAATAGTTAAGTGCTTTATTCTTGAATTTCTAGAAGTCGTAAGTCTTGATCGAAAGAGGGCGTTTAAAAGTGGTAAAGAATTAAGCAATAAGCTCGGAGTCGGGCGAATAGTCGTGCTTCAAAACTCTTTTTTTGGCCCGTAAACTATAGTTCACGAGTCGTTTAACCGAAAATACTAAAACAATGCTCAGCTCGTTGATGACTTAATCGTCAATATCTTTCTCCTTTTTTTCTTTAATATTTGAAAGATGCTCTTTTCCCTTCTTAAAAAGACCGTCCGCCGCCGTGTTTTTAATCTCAAGGATATGCTTGACTTTAAAGTCTATTAATCTTATCTACGCAATCTAATTCGTAACGAAGGCTTTAAGCAAGTCGCTTGCTAATCCGTTAAGTTAATCAATTAATACTTTAGCGTCGGTTTTTAAGATGAAGTGAACCTCGTATAATTCGCTTTTTATCTTTTTCATAGCTTTTAAAGCACCGCGGCATTCTCGCTTAATCGCGTCGTACTTGCTCTCCGCAAAGTTCTAAAGACCACTTTCGAACTTAGCAAGATGTCGCTTTTTATCGGAATCCTTTTGCTGCAATACTGCTCCTTATCCTTTAAAACTAGCGTCTACCGTCAAGTAAATTTTTCCTTCGTCTTTGCTATAGTCGATCTTAATAAGAGCGAGGGCAAAAAGCAAAGCTTCTTTAAGCAGCCTCATCGCTTCTTGCTAAGGCTCTAACCACTCGAATTCGACCCCTTTTCTTATCGTCGCGTAGATTAAAGCAGCAATCGTAAAAAAGTTTTTGATCCAGATTCTATAGTAAACCACGATACTAATAAAAGCTCGGGCTTCCGATACGTCCTCGCACTTAGTCTATTCTAGTATCTTTTTAATTTTAACGGTCTAAAAGTAACGTCTTTCGCTATTTATAACGAATCTAACGATATTAAAGCTAAGCATACAGTATTAAGATTTCGTTCCGACGATCGTCTTAGCTCTTTTAAACCTTACGAGCACTTTGTCGATATTTTAAATATGCTCCAAAACGAATCGTCGAATTCCGAGCAAAACTTCCTCGTAATTATAAAAAGATCGCGATCTTTTAACTCTTACGTTATTTATATAAAGCAAGCAGACGTTAAGAATGCAGTCTATAAAGATCTTATAAATAACCTTAACGAATTAAGCGATCGAATTAATAGCTCTTATAAGTATCCGAGTCATCCGAAGCAGTCTGATAAGCGTTTGAATAGCTATTATATCTTTAGACTCAACGTCGAAAAAGAATTAATCGTATTTAAAAAAGAAATCTAAAAGTATAGCTATCGTAAAACCGGCAAATTCGTTCGAGAACTAGTCTACGTTCGAAGCAACATTAGCGTCTTTGACCGTTATACGGTTCATTTCAATTATAGCAATGATCAGCTTGTATTTTCCTTTCTCTTTTTTCGTTATAATGAACCATTTGTTCCGGTAAAAGCCTTAGCATAATTCGAAAACCCTTTGCTTCAATCGTTCTTTTAATATAAAAATGACCATCTTTTACAAAGCCTTCGATACCGTAAACGTTTTCTTTTGCTAAGCTTTGTAAAGCACCGTCTTAATCTTCTAAAGCGGCATGACTTCTTTCCGAACTTAGTTAAGATAAATAAAATCTTAAGCTATCGCTTCTTTTCGATTCAAAAAGCATTAATAAAGCAGCTCTCTTTCTTTTAAAGTAACTTAAAAGCTAATCGTGAATGCTTTGAATCGTTTTTTCGTCAATCTTAATCCAACTTCTAAGTCTAAAAACCTGCTAATAAAGTATTCTGAAAAAGGTCTTCCAAGCTTAAAAGGTCTCGCTTTCTTATCTTGCTCGAATTAATCGTCGATCCTTTTAAGTATCTCTTTATCCGATACTCTTAAATCTACTGGTTTGACCTTCTCCGCTTTCTTTTTATACATCGTATTAACTTCTACTACATTCTCTTTCAAAAGGTCTTTGTCGTTGTCGATAATAAATATAAAATTTTTTGATTTATCGAGTTTAATTGCAAATATTTTTAATGTTTTTAATTTTAGTAAGCCTTGTTTAATATTAAGTTAAATTGTTTTTTTGTGATTTTATTGTTTTTATGCCGATCCACTCGTAAACTATAGTTTACGGGCGGAATTTCTTTTTAAGCTTCTTTTTAGCTTAACATCCATCTTAGCTTGCATGCTAGCGACTAGTTTCCCGGGTCTTCGACCAAATCCGACTTGTCTTTTGCAATAATAATCTAGCTTTAAGTAAATCGATCGTAGTTTTAAAAAGAGGCTTTTATCGTGCTATTATCGAGGTAAGAAAAAAAGAGTTAAGATTCTAAAAAGAAAAGCATGCTTAAGATGACCTCGTGACTGCTATTATTAATGATAAAGAAATCGGCGTAATTAATGATTCCGCTAATAATAACTTCGACGTCGTTTATTTATTTATCGAAATTATAAAAATCTTCGGACACAGTAGTATAGATCAAAGCTCGATCCGTTATAATAAATAGTTTAATTATCTCAGCCACCTTTTTGTTTATTACGTTGACTTCAAATCTATTATCGAAGAAGGATCTGCTTTTAATTATACCGTCGATATTAATGAAAACTTTTAAAGTCTTTATCGCTATCTCGAAGCAATTGCGAGCGATAAGTTGTTTGCGGATTTGCGTCGCTAAGAGGTCTAGCTTGCCTTCTTTATTCCGACTTAGACGTCTAATAATTGAGGCGTTCATAAGAATAAGCTTACCTTAAAGGACTTTTACGTTTTCTTTAGTATCGGGGACCATTAAAATGTGGTGGCTTAATAGCTTGTCGAAGCGAGAGCTAAGTCCGAACAAGTCTTTAATTTAAACTTCGATTCTCGATTTCATAATCGCCGCCACTGCTTTTTCTTAAGCTTTAATAGTAACGTAAAGGTTAATAAACTTCTCTCGTTTATAAGTCTTCTTCTTCTTTCCTCTTGGTACTCGCTAAGTGATCTTAACCTCTCTTTCCACATCCTCTATAGCTTCGTCGGCTTTAATTAGTCTAAAAGATCCAGAAGACTCTTTTTTAATTAAACTATCGAATAGCCTATCTTTCGAGTCTATCTTTACAGCAGTACCCGATTCTTGAAAGGCATAAGCTCTAAAGGTGCCGTAGTTCTTCTCCTTCTGTTGTCGGACATTCTTCTTGATCCAGTGAGCTTGGATCCTTTCGAAGGCTAAAAAGGCTTCTTGGCTTTGTCTTTTGCGGCGGCGTTGATCTCGACCGAAGCAACCTTTATACTAGATAAGTAGTTAAGCGTGTTGATCCATCTTATAGCATTGATATTTTTAATGTCGACTAGTCTTTTAAGAATAATAATAAGCTCTTTTGGCTAATTGGTTAATTACTGAACATTTTGATCGGGCTGATATTAAGCTAGCTATTAGATTGGTTGTTGATAAAAGAGTAAGTGTTTATAGGTCTTAGGTCCGCTAGTAAGCCGATTCTCTAAGATATTATCGTATTCCGTCTTACGAACGTCTAGCACGATAGATCTGAACCAAGTCTTTCCTTGCTTCTTTTAGATAATAAAAGCACCGATCCTTTTAAGTCTTAAGCAAAAGCATCCGTAATTATTAATATAAATACATCTTTTATTAACCATGTCTTTAAAAGCCTTACACTCATCCCGATATTAATAAAAAGCTTGAATTGTGTCTTCGGAATTCTCGTAGAAGCTATAATCTTGCATCTAGCTCCCGTATCCTTTACCTCTTCTTCTTCCTCGTCTTTATAATCCGTAGCCGATAGCAGTAATTTGAACTCCTCTTCCGAAGCTGACCTTACTTCGAGCATCTTAAGCGGTATATTTAATAAAGGCTTCGTCGCGGTCTTCGAATCGAACTTGAAGTTAAGATTAAACAAAGCGTCGGGAAGTTAAGTTAGCGACTTAGTCTTCGAAGTAATCAATTCGACTATAGATCGCATTAATCTGCAAGTTAAAAAACTTCTTAATTATAGAACTTACTTTGTCAATTTCTTTTTTTTTACTCGTGAACCGTAGTTCACGAGTAAACGGCACTACTATTAAAGCTTTTTTAACAGACTCAAGAACGCTAGCTAGCTCCGTGTGTTCTTTAACCAAAGTCCGAATATCTTTAATAAAGTTAACTGAAAAAAACTTTTCTCGATTTATAGCTTCGATAATCTTAGCGCTTTAGTCGGTCTTAAGGGCGAATGCAACGAAGTTATCGAAAGCGGCATAAGAGTCTAAGTCGAGTTCGTCGACCTTACAATGCTTAATCGTCTTGTTTCGGATTCCGACGAGCAATCCGAAAAAGAACAAGCGGCTTTGTTCGGTCTTGCTTAAGAGGTGCATTAAAGTAAGCCTTTCGGAGACCCGAGAGAAAGTGCGATAGTAGTTTTTCAAATCATTGACATCCCGTTCTTGCATAGCAAATTCCCGTAAGAAAGCGACCGAGTCTTTGATCTGCTAAGTATCGTTTTTACGAAACTCGGCTCTTAAGGCTTTAACGAAAGCAGCTTAATCTTTCTTAGCTTTTTATTCGAGCAAGCTCTTGATAACCTCTTTGCGAAGGTTATCGCAATAACAAAAGAGTTTAACAAACCGATTATCTTTAAAAATATTAAAGTCATCATAAGTTTCTTCGTACTTTTCGATAAAGTCGGTAATATTAGCACTATTAAAGCAAGGAGCTCTTAAGGCGCTTAGCAATAGCATGCGAGTAGTTATAAAAGCGTAAAGGATAGCAAGGTCGACTATAACTAGCGCAAGGCTTAGTGAAGGAGCAAAAAGAGCAAAAGGAAGAAGAGTAGTATAAATCTTAAGACCGGTGTTCATTTTAAAAAGCATTTCCGGAGCAAGTGTTTCCGATAAAAGTAGCGGTAAAGGTTCAAGTTAAAGGTCGAAGTAAGATAAAGATGGTCCGAAGCTTATAAGAATACGACTAAAAGATTTAACAAATTCAAAGGATTCTAACGAAAAGGGAAGTGATTCTGCGCCGACTTCGATATTAGAAATCTTAAAAAGGTTTTCGATATTTTAAAGATCAGACATATGTGTGTGTTAAGAATGATCGAGTTGATAAAAGGTTTTTAAATTGTTTGATTTTAACTCGTGAACCGGGTTCACGAGTAAAATAAGCGATTTTCGCAAAGTATTTTCGATCCGAGATTAAAAAGAGTAGACCTTTTGCAAAGGTAAACTAATAAACAAAATCAAAACCATAAAAAACTTAAGAATCAATTGATTAGCTTCGCTAACAACTCCGGACCATATCAATTGCTTTAATTCAAGATGAGAGCTAAAGTATAAAAAGATATTTTTATTAATAAGTGAAAATTCTTTCTTATTAACAATAGAAAAGAGTTTTTGCCGGAGAGCCGAAATATTGCACTTCGGCTATTTCGGCGTTTCGATGTCCGAACCTATCGAGAATAAGGTTTTGATTGTTTTGAAGTCGTAGTTGTAGAATAAAGTGCTGAATGAACGAAGATCAACTTGACTGCGAATCAAGCGATTGTAATAAGCTGTATAAAGACAAAGACCAAAGGTTTGAATCCTTGCGTAGGTCACTAATATAAAAGCACTCAAAAAGATGTGCTGTATAGAAGCCTAGCTCTGAGGCTAGACCTTATAGTCTCACAAAAGAAATGTCAAAAAAGGTGGGTAGAAAGCTCGTTGATTGTTCTAGCTAAAAGATGTGTGCCCTCTTATAGAAGATAGGTCCGTCTAGTATGGCCTTAGTGGCCATGGCAGGTACCCCATCAGGCAGGGTGTTTACATTATATAAAATATTATATAGATATACTGCTATACCGACGAATGCGGCAAGTGTAAGAATTTGGCTAAGCACGGACCTTTTTGAAAAGTGAATTCGTTTATTACTTTTTAATATTTATTATAATTTAAATATTCTTCTTAACCTTAACGTTAATATCAATATTAACTTTAATTTTAACTTTAACCTTAACCTTAACCTTAATCTCAGCTACAATTATAATTACAATTATAATTATATTAACAATATGATCTCATTTCGCTAGCGCAACTTTCGAGACGGACTTTATATAAGGCGGGTAAGTCGGCCGGATCCGGCTTATAAGCGGCAAGTACAATTACTTCGCAAGCAGTAGTGGCTGCTTTTACACCCCTTCCTTCCTTTTTAATAAGCCTTGCCTTTTGCCTTGCTTATTGCTTTGGTTAAGCCCGCGGTATAAGTAGTAAGTGATACATTTTAGCTACTTACGTTAATATTATATATAAATTTAATAAAGACGGCGATGATAATGAGAATGAGCTAATGATCTCTTGCTTTGCTTTCACCTTTTTTCTTAATAGCGTTCCCGCCGTTCCCGCCGTCTCCGCCGTTCCCGCCGTCTCCGCCGTCCTCGCCGTCCTCGCCGTCCCCGCCGTCCTCGCTACTGCCTTGCCTTTTTCTTTCTTTCTCTTTGCTATAGATTTAGCAATAAGAGAGGTTAAGAAAGAAATAGAAAAGGATAAGGTTATAAAGGATTTTAAGCTCGCAATATAAGTCATCCTAAAATCAAGTAATACATTCGAGCTACTTACGCTAATTATATATATATAGATTCGAAGACGACGACGATATAAATAAGCTAATGATCTCTCGCTTTCTTTCTTTTTCTTTCTTCGTTCTTTTCGTGCTATCGACTCTAATTAGCGCTCTTCTTCCCGCTTTTATATTCGCTTCGGCTCTTATATTCTTCGCCGCCGCCGTGCCTCCTTTTGCTACGCCATTTGCTACCCTTCGCCTTATAAGCTTTAGACCGATCTTACTTTTATAATAAAGTATAAGCGTAAGTATATTTCATATTTTTTATTAATGCTTATTAATCAGATTAATAAATGTTTGCGTCCTCGCCGGCCGTTAATAAAAGGACCCTTTTTACTAAGGCTCAACTTAAATAAGTTTAATCGACTGCCGGGTTTGCGCGTCTCTTTTAAGCCTAGATTATTTAAAAAAAGAACAAAGACTTATATACGCCTTCCGCTATAAGTATATAATGATCGTATAAGCAATCGGACTTATTAAAGCTCTTTTTTCTTCGCCGTGCTATTATCGGCTACGTCGGCCGTATTATAAAAATCGAATTGTAAACATTAACCTCTTACTTTCCTTTGTTTTCTAGCAACTTCGAGCTAATATAAATATATAAAGGTAAGCTAGTAGACCCGCTTTGCGATGCGTGCACCGTTGCTCGTTAAAAATGCTAAGTATACTTTTCGGCCGGTAAAGCATAAATATCTAATTCTGAAGATGCATATGCTCGCTATCGGTAAGGTCTTCGGAAGTGTATTGCGTTTAAGAAGAGCTTACGTAAGAAACGTAGACCTCCTTCTCTTGCTCGAGACCTTCTTCCTTCTTTTCCTCCCCTCTTTTTAAGTGCACCTTTAATAGCTGGGTTAAAGATTCGGGTTTAAACTCCTCTTAATGCATATTTTTAAATCTGATAACTTTTATAACTTTTATAACTTTTATAACTTTTGTAACCTCTATAACCTTTATACCCTTTGTAACTTTTGTAATCTTTATAACCTTTATAACTTTTATAACTTCTGTAACTTCTGTAACTTCTATAACTTCTATAACTTTTGTAACTTTTGTAACTTTTGTAACTTCTGTAACTTCTGTAACTTCTGTAACTTCTGATTTTTTCGTAATATAATTAAGTATATAATTATAAGTAATAAAAGGGGTCCGGGGTCTCCTCGGTTTAAAAATAAAAATATAAATAATAAAAGGGGGTTTAAAAGGGTCTCCCTCTTATAATAAATTATAAATTCCCTAAGTTTTATTATAATAATACTTTTATATATATTTGGTCTTATATTACGATTTATTTAATAAGTTTAATATTAGGCGGAGGACCAAGTTCAAAGTAATATTATTAACAGGCTAATTATTAATTATATAAAAATCCAATTTTAATAATATATAAATTAATAATTAGCCCGTTGATGACACTACAGAGAACTTGGTCCTCTGCCTGGTAAAGACTACGCGAATTAGAATTTGCTCCTTTTCAGCGAGCGGCTATATAATATTCCGAGTTCGAATATAATGTAGAAGCACCTAAAAAGATGTACTGTACAAAAGCCTGGCTCTGAAGCTAGACTTCATAGTCTTATAAAAGAAGTATCAGAAAAGGTAAGTAGAAAGCTCGTTGATTATTTTAGCTAAAAGATGTGTGCCTTTTTATAAAAGATAAGTCCGTTTAATATAGCTTTAATAGCTATAGCAAGTACTTTATCAAGCAAGGTGTTTACATCCGTCTTTTTATAGAATAAGTAAGCGCCTTCGCTTACTATCAAGCAAAGAAGAAAAAAAAAAAAGTATAAAAGAAAGAAAAATTTAATATATAAAAAAGAGAAGTATCTTATCTTTAAACTCTAAATATTTAAACATCTAAACTATGCTTTAGCAGCTTTTTTATAATCCTTTTCCGTGCTTACGTCTTTAACTCTTTCGTTCTTTTTAAGCTAAAAAGGTTTTTTTTTTTAGTAAAGTTAATATTAAACGATAACGTGCTAGCAATAGCATCTTTAAAAGTAAAAAAGCGCGTATCGTTTTTGCGTTTATTAATAGCATCGTTAATAAGTATAAACTTAGCTAACGGAAGGTTAGCGAAATTAAAATAAAGTCCGAAGCTATTAATTAAATCGTCTTCGTTTTCGAGCAAATCATTTAAAGCTTTTATAACTTTATCGAATGCGCGGTTTAAAGATTCCGGTTAAAAAGAAGATCTTTTAAAGTTGCCGATTTAATTCGTGAACCGTAGTTTACGAATAGATTTCGCACTTTTTAAAGTGATCTTTATATTTAAATCGGAGTCGTTAAAAGACAACTCAATCGATCGCAAGCTCTTTTTAAAATCCTTTAACTTATCGGCGTTTATAAAGTCGTTAGCTCGGCGGCTTTTACTTTTAAAAAAAGACTTAACTCCGTAAGTCTTAGCTTTAATATTTAAAACGATAGCAAATCTTTTTTTAAATGTTAAAAATAACTTCTTTTTATGCTTAATAAAGTGTTCTTAAAACTAAGTCCGAGATATAGCAAAAATAGCGGTTAATTCTTTTATTATTCGAGGTTCGTTTTAATTTATTCTTTCGATTAAAGCTTTTAATACGAAACTGACGTAATTTAGCTAGATTGTAACGGCGAAAAGCTAGCTTAATTTATTAATAACTCTTTATCGAAAAGTTAACGGCATGCGTCTTAAAACGATAATACAAGCGTGCTTTGTAAAGCTGACTTTATTTTTTAAAATGTTATCGTTTAATAAAGCGGTGTAATTGTTAAAAAAGATAGCTTATTTATAAAAAGAATCTTAAAAAGCGTTTATATTTAAAAAAACACTTTGTTTCGTAATAACGAATATAAAAGTAGCGAAATCATTAATTATAACGAA